AATTTTCTCCCGCGGAAGTATAACGAAGTTAAGATTCTTAAGTACCGGCGGCTCCAGCGGCGCGTAGCGCAAAAATACGTTCTTAAATTCAATTTTGCCTTTATGCGGCCATTCGGACTTGTGCTTTTTACCAGGAGCACTTTCGAGAGGAGGCTCGCTGTCCACTTTGCTGAAAAAAGGTTGAAACAGAAAGTTTATTAATAGTTATTTTATTGGGTCACATTTTGAGAGAGATTGCTCTGAACGGACTTTTTCTCAGTCCACTACGCCACACTATTATTTTGTACTACCCTTCATAAAATAAGTTTAAATTAATGTATGATCTAGAATTTAATGTTTTTCAAAATATCCATGGTAGTTCGATCCAGGTGTATAAAGGATGCACGCGGCGTGGAGTAATAAATATCAAAGATATTAAAAAATTAATTAAGTACTTGTATTCAAGGATGCGCGCCACCGAAGTCATTTGGTTCTCCAATTCTGCGCTTTGACGCATGCCCCACTGGAACATGCCGGTGAGACCGATACTCTGCGTGATCGCCAGGCCTACAAATCCGCCATCCATTTAACCTTGAATGTAGTTGTCTAGCACGAGAAAGCTCAGCGTGACCAACGTGATGTGCAGTACGCAGAAAACATCCAGCCAAAAACCGAAGGCGCGTGAGGTCGAGATAAAGATATACCATGCGGACGAATGAATATCCTGATAATTATCAAATTCCTTTGTGAGAATCGCTTCCGCCCCGAACGCGCGAATCGTCGACAACCCTTGAAGTGTCGCGCTTAGGTGAGCAAATACCGGCGAACGTGCTAAGAGAAATTAGAAATTCCATTTAGTTTACCCGAAGAATTACAATTTATCGTAAATTCCATGAGAGTAATGATTTGGTTTCTATCTGTGATGGAATTTATTTTAGTCTATCGAAGATACTGTGTCGACTATCAAAAGATGTGTTTGCGATACTTACTGACGCCTTCAAGACGCTTGACGCTACGACTGTTGGCCAGATAGAATATTCTCATGTAATAAAAGACAATACCAATTAGCACTGTGGGTATCAGCAGCCACACGTTCGAAGTGGCTACCACAATGATAATGCCCAGCAGCGCTATACCGATCTGAAGACAGTCAATAAACGTAGCGGGCAGCATCTCATCAACAGCTCCCATGTCTTTGGAAAAGCGATTGAGTACACGTCCCGAAGTATTAGTGTTAAAGAATCGCATAGTGGCGCGGCTATTGCTGCGAAACATGCGATCGTGCAAGCGCATTGAAGCCCTCATGCATGTCCAAAAAAACGTACATGAGCGGATAAGGGTGATGATGACTGTTAACACAATCAGCCCGCTGTAGATGTAGATGCACTGCATGCGGGTGAGGGGACTCCTCGGGTCCTCTACGACGCCGTTTTCCGTTTGGTTCATCTATAAAATTATACAATTAACGAAATATGATTAATGTAAAATGAGATCTACGATCTTTCTACAAAAACTTCTTTCTGCTTACGTTTAAAAAAAATTACACTTTTGAAAATGTGCCAAGCGAGACTAACTCTTATTAGCTAAATAGATAAGGAATTATTGTTCTTTTCCAAATTAGTATTTCTCTCTTCTTTAATTCCAACGAGTCAATCCGACCGAGCAAGAAGGGATAACCGTTACAATTTTCTGGAAAAGCGATTATGCCTCAATTCGCCAATTATTTTAGCAACATGTATATAGACACTTACAAAGTGTTCTTCTATTTCAATCCATTGGGCTAGAAAGAAGTCGGCGCTGCTGGCTGCTAATTGTGTCAATATAAAAAGCATAGCCACAATGGACATCACGCACCAGTTTCCGCCAGCGCGTAAGTAATTCGTATAAACTCTGCCGGAAACATTGCCTACTGTTCGCATCTCAGCCACCCGAAATTAACGATTAAAATTTAACTTATAATTTAGCGTTAAAATATAAAATTTTTCCAATGACGGATGAAAGAACATTCACGTATTTGAAATTAATATGCGTACTTCTGAATAAAAATAAACTCATTATTTAATTATTAAGGATCAACAAGTTCCTACAATTTTTCTGAAAAAGGCAAATAAAAATTCGATCTGATATGTCACTCAATCTGCATTAAAGCGTAGCCGACATGCAAATAATTTTATGTATCACTGTATTTTAAGAACAAAGTTGCAAAATTCGA